CTTGAGCCCAGACGCCTAATGGGAAATTCTCTTCATATGGGGGGGCTTATCAATCCAGCGTCTACAAATATGATCCATGCGCCCAGCTAAGCGTAGATTGCTTCGCTCCCGGATGGGTGACGCCAACCAGCCGCCCCGAAAGGGAGTGTCCAACGCTAGGCCTTGCAGCCAGTGCTTCTCAGACTCATAACAGCTCAGTGCTTCCCGGAACTGAAGGCTTTCAGGTTGCATCGCATAAACGGCCTGCATGTTCGCCTGGGTGAGACCAGAAAGAGTTCTCCGGAACAACTGATGCCGATGTCGGTCTGATGTGGGGACTATTCAGAAACATGCTAGCAGGTAGGAGTCCAGCAGTGGCTGAAACATGCTGAAACCATCTAAGAATCGACTCTTCATCGAAAGTTCATGAAACTTCTATGAACATGGACTCCATTCGGGTCGAACCCCCACTGTGCCCATCAGATGAATGAAGATCAACAATTCCATCCATCCGCACGATCACTCCAAGCCGCCACACGCAGCGCCACGCGTAAGGCTTGCCGCTTGAGCGGCATCGTTCGCTTGGACCACCAGGCAGGGGGGCAAATCACCTGCCAACAGTGCTCGCACCAAGGTGGTCTCCAGCTCCTGCGAGTGCAGCTGGAAGTTTGGCGCATGGGGAAAGCCTAAAGACACTGATGGCCTAAGTAGATTAGACCGTTGAACGTTCCGAAGACAATGAAGTACTAGGCCATGTCTTATTCTTCTCCTGTGACAAGGTCCGCACCTTCCCACGGAAAACGTGACAAGTAAACCTATATGTGATCCTGTTACCGAGCCCAATGAATGTCGTCGCAGCCAGTCCTCGCCTCTTCCGGGCATTGGCTCAAACTTGCCAGCTGCACTGTTTTCCCATCCCGGAGCACAGCGGCACGACATTCCAAGAGCTGCTGCTTCGTATACATGAAGCCGACGCGCTCCTCGGCCATCGAAGGATTGAACGGATGCATCGCATCGAGTGCCTCGACTCCTGGGGTCCATGTTTGAAACTTGAGGAACCAAAAGGAATTATCAAATGGTTCACAAAGCCCAATAAGCAAACACGTTGCCCATGTCAATAAGTCTCCGACTTGGCGGAGAAAAAGCGCGTCTTTCGCACCATGGAACCTTCCACCATGGGCGGGGGGGTTCGGGAGGTTGGACACATAATAACCACAAATACACATGTAAAGCTAGTCTATGGATGTCACAATTTGAAGCAGGATTGGTGGGTAAACCAGCCAAAGAGTTTTAACATGAATCTTTCCAGCACGAAACTGCATGCATTTAACATACGGTTCTCTAGCATTATCTGATTCAGAGTGACCTCCGAGGGCTCGGAAAGTCCCAAGGTGTGTGACCTGTGATCTTGAGAGCATCCTACAAGTACGGGGAAGCCGGAATGGAGACGCAAGTTTCCTGGACTCCACCGGTGGCCCAGTTTGCCAGGAATCATGTTTTCAGCCGTGCTGGTTCAATTTGGATTCCAGCAACCCCCGTACCGCCCGGCCGCGTTTGATCTGACCATCGCCCAGCGGCATCCTGGCCATAGCCCTTGGTGCCTTTGGTACCCTTGATGGCACCTTTGCCGCCCTTTGCTTGGGCATCTGCAATGTCCTCCAACTCCTTCTCTTCCTCCTCTTCTGCTGCCAGCAAAAGGGTGATCTCACCTGATGTGAATGGCAATCGGCAATGGGTGGCAAAGAGAACCCTTGTGATGGGACACCCAACAGCACGGCAGCAGCATGCGGCTGGAAGGAGCGGACAGAAGGATGGGACTCTACCCAAGGCATTCCAAAACCAACCGGTGGACAATGGGCTGAGAACCCTAACCTGTGTTCACTGACTTCTACAGATTCTATGGGTCCGCCTCAACTGCCCTCAACCAATCGGCCGTGCTAATGCATCCTCCACTTCCCACAACATCCGCGGAGTTATTTCATTAGACGAGTACAACTACATTGCACAACATTGTGCAGCTAGCAGCTAACATTCACCAAGTACTGCAGACCAAACCCACCAGGCCTTCGTGAAGACCAGCCACTTGCAAATCAACCAGCTCATCGCCTTGGAACTGGCTGGCAAACGGACACCCATTCGTTCCATCAAGTACTTGTTTTTTAAGCCGTGTACCTTCAATACCCACTGCTTCTTTTGACAACCGTCCTTTGGACCATTCGACTGCGTCTCTTCTGAAAACCATCCTTTTTGACCCCGGCTCTTCTCAACACCTTCCATGTTCACCTCATCTGTTCGCAAAACTTTCCAGTTTGACTCCATCTGTTCACAAGACTCATTGTTGACCTCGTCTGTTCTTAAAGCCCGTTTTTTTTGGACTCCGTGCGTCCTCAAAACCTTCCTTTTTGATCCCGTCTGTTCTCAAAATGTTCCTTTTTGGGGTCGTCTGCTTCCAGAATGTTTCTGCCCTTTGAAAGAAAATATGCTTTTCATAAGCGTCTGTTCTGAAAAACTTTTTTTGTGACCACGTCTGTTCTCAAAGCCTGCCTTGTTGACCCCATTGACTTTGTTCATTCTCCAAACTCGTCCTTCCTTCCAAGTTTCATCACCGTTTTTCTCTCCATAAAAAGTGTTTGGTGTATTCTGGCCTTTTTGAATTAATTTCTTTCAAGCAAGCCCTTTGAATCTTTTGTTCTAAATGTTCTAAAGCTTTCCTTCTCTTCCAACTCTCACCGCCGCCTTTCATAACCACAGGTCAAGGGTGGGCTTGGAAAGAAAAAGCACCTGCCAGGCCACCTCTTGTCGCCTATTTGCATTTCGATCCTGCGCTCTGTTGGTGGGATAGGACAAATGCTCGCCGACCAGGGAGCAGCGATGTACGAGTCCGAAAGGCGCAAGCACGCCGAATTCGCAGGTTTCGTGGTGGCCTAACACTTTCGAGCTCTGCAAGGCCATCTTCTGTTTATGTCTGGGGGGCCACCTCATGCTCTTCTAAGATGCTGTGGTCGGCATACATGTGAGGCGGTCAGGAACCTAGGCCAGATCAAACTCCTCCAGTGTAAAGAAGACGTTAGCTATTGCATCTTGAACTTGTCTTTCAAAAAAAAACGAAAATATGCGAAAATGGTAAGTTGAAGTTGCGAAACTCCTGCGCTGACAGCATTGGAAACAGCCTCTGCAACAGGAATGAGAATTCTTCGCGACGATAATGGTTTGCCGGGTCAGAATGAAAAGTGTTGCCAGTGGCAGGAAGGGGGCTGATGTGATCGGGTTTCGGGGTCAAAAAAAGGGTAGTGTAAAAAACATAGGAGCGGGGTCAACTAAATAGGGTCCCCGCTGGTAAACCAGCTCGGCCGCATGCCGAAGCAGACAACCGTTCGGAACTTCTCCATTCCACGTACCTTTGGCACAAGGGATGGGTGAGCAGGGCATGGCAGGGCTAGAGGTTGGGAGGATACATCATGCTCCCAAAAGAACTGACACCCCAGCCAGTCCTCCCGTGCTTCGACCTCCAAGACTCCGAGTTGGGGGAGGAAGTCCAAAGGCCCTTGCAGTAGAGCTGGACGTTCTTGACCAGCAAGTTCGATATAAATCTTCTCCTGCCAACAGTGAACAAGAGAAGGTGTCATCCAACTGCTAGGTCATGTTCCAAATCCCAAACACAAATCCAAATGAGAGAAGAGTCTTTGAAAAAAACAAGTGTTGTGTTCCATGTCCCGTTGTGTTCCATAACTTTATCACCGATCTTCGCCCAAGTCCTGTGAGATCTGGATGACCCGTCCCTCCACCAAGTCGCCCAGGGCCCTCATCTGTCCACCATGGGTGAGGAATGCGGTTCAAAGGGCTGGTGGCTGGTGGAGATAGAAAAAATACAAGTGTAGTAAATATATAGAATATAGAATTCAAGTTTGTCATTCTTAGTTACTTGAAATAACATCGTAATTAATATTATTGCTCGGTGTTGCTTGTGTTTGTCATAATGATCTGTTGGTCCGTTTCACTACATAAGCCCTCGGCTCTACACTGACCTTGGTCAACCGGCATCGACCGGCGTAGGACTTTAGCCTGTTCGACGGCTAACCAGTGCACGTTCAACCTGGTACAGTTTGACTTTAGCACATTCAACCTGTGCTATAGGTTTGGTGTGAAGGACTGTGTCTTGCATTCCGACTTATATGATGTTTCGGAATGGGAAGCACACTGCTGGAAGCGGTGGCAAGCCCATACTTGATGGAGGTATGTGGACGTGCTTTGAGGTCATGTTCCAACAGCAGGTGCAGAACATAATGTTCATAATTGTTGGATGATGCTGCACGTCCAAGCTGAGCCCAATGGCTCAATCTTGGTCTCGAAGACCCTTCCCAGAAATCCGAGCTGGTTTCATCTAATTTCACAAGAATCCACCTTTTCTTGTGAATCCGTCCTAAGAGATTGCACTTCCCACGCAGACCCAACCAGGGCAGCTTTTTTGGGGGGGCAGGAGTCAGAGATGTAAAATGTACCCCCACACAGTGGTGCTCAAAAGTGAACTCGAGGCTCGGACACTATTTTGTTGATTTGTTGACCACTCCTTTGTCGAAACCTCTACTGGCTGTTGAGCACAACTGCGATGAAGCCTAGCATCGATGCCTCCTTTTCAACGAGCGGAATCCCTCAGTGCCACCTGTCTTGCACCCTGTCTTGCCCTCATCCCTCATGACCCTGCGCGACCGCAAGCTCCGACTGGATCCCCTGAGGAAGTCGAACCGGCGTTCCAACCTGAGCCCATTGGCCCATCACCCGCGTTCCAACGGCGTTCCGCCACGCCGTTACTCTGCGAGGCCGTTCATGCAGCGGCTTGCTGAAGTCTACAGTGACTTCAAGAACTCGATGGCACAAAATCCAAGAACATCAATATGACATTATATGCCACCTACACCTACTCGTGATCAAAAGAAAGTGGCTGACATGATTGCATCCAAACTGGTCTCCGGCTTGTGTGCCATCCGCCCAGAAAACTACTGTACAGAACTTCACTTCGCCGCCTAAAAGGGCTGCTTCATCGACAAACTCATCTTTCCATCTTCGTTGTTGGCGGATTCCACCCGAACTTCCACCTCTTGACCCACCTGCGACAGGGTTGGCGAAGTCATTTTTTTGAAGCCGGAGCAGGTTGATGTGAACACCATTGCCTTTAAGAAAAGAAGGCACGCTTTCCCAGCCAAACCTGCAACTCATCCTCCACGCTTTCCACAAAACCGTCCCTGATCTGAGTGATGTGGACCAAGCCTGAGCTCCACGTGTGAAATGCGGAGATCTCGGGTCCATTTCAGATGGTGTTTGGTGCACCATGGTGCAGCCAGTCTCAGATTGGGAAAAGGGTTGGGTCACAAACTGATGTATCATGAGTCTTTACGGCATCATCTCCTTGGGCAGGGAACAGGTTGAAAGAGAAGGGGGTCTCCCCCCTTTGTTCTTCAAATGTGGAGCGCCCCTGCAAGCTTCCAGCTACATTTCTTGTCACCCTCAAGTCGGTAGTGACAATGAAAAACCGGCCGTTTTCCAATTTGTTCTCGGACCGTGCCATACTCAATCTACTCAAGGATGACCTGAGCTAAAGTTCTGGCATTTTTATAAACCCAGAAGCATGCTGCTTTGACAGAAACACCACCAACGCTGCGATCCTGCCCAAAAGGCCTTTCCACGAGCTGGGGGGGTACCTGGACAGTGACTCATCACCAGACGACCCACCGTGAGCTTCTGGTCCAAGAAGCCGTCGGCGGTGGCATCTCCGTCAGGTGTGGTGACAGTCACAAAGGCACCGAAGGGAGCCAACCGGGCGACTTTGCCTTTCAGCCAGTTGTCTGGAGAAATGCTCCTTAGACGGTCTAGGGAGATGTTGGAAGAACTAAGACAAGGCCTAACTGAGGCCTTTTGTTCCTTCTTCTGGGTCGTTATCGTGGTCGTTTTCACTGGTCCGCGACGTACTTGTTCTGTGCCTTTTGGGGGGGGGGGGGGGGGATGGGAGAAAGGACCTAAGAAGGGGGAAATACACCCTGGAAGAGGTCCACATGGAACCTGAAAACCAGTCGCCCTTCCAAAGGTCCATTTCCAGCTTCCATGTAGGCCCCTTCCGGGTGTAAACATGAAGAACGTGGGTCCGAGCTCCCAGAAGCATCGGTCCGACCGCGTCAGACGGTTGGGTCGCGGTCGCATCTTGTCAAAGGTTCCTGAAGAAAGTCCGATGAACACCCCAAGCACCCAGCAGTTCTCTCAAATCCTGTACGGCACCTCCGTCCGTACCCTGCCCCGCGAAGCGGCTGCCTGTGAACGACACATCTGGGTAGTGCAAGCTTCATGCGAACGGACTATCCATGAAGCTCTATAGCCATCCACTTGGGGACAACTTTTTCGTTCAGCATGGACTTCTGAGACTCTTCTTGGTTTAATATTTTTGGATCTGGGAATTCACCAGGAGTGCAAAGGCCACAGGATGCACATGAAATCTTCTGCACGTTCCGCGGCACGTTCCACGTGTTACCGGGCGTTGCCTTCGCCAATGACTGTGCGAATTGAGTAACAAAGAGCGCTATGCCTCCAACCTAATAGAGATGGCCTCCAACCTTCTAGAGATGGCCTCCAACCTAATAGCCTCAATATATCTTTTGAAATTTAAGAGCCGCCCAGTTGTCTGACCAGAGGTAGGGCCCGTATAAGTCCTGAATCAAACTCATGCCCGTCTCCACATGATGGTTGCGCCAACCAAATGCCTTGTCCTGAATGACGCCAATGAATGAACAGCTAAGATTCTCAAAAGGAGTCAGGTCTACTGGTGCTCTGGGACCACCACCAAAGCCTCCTTCTCGCATTGAGAGGCGCATTCGGTTGCTGTCCAGGTCCACGTCTTCAATACGAACCTTCACATCCTCAAGGCACGAACAAACCCACCGGCTCATCCGAGGAGGGCGGAATCTGGGCTGAGTGTCAGAACGAAGGATGTGGGCCCCCGCAAAACACCAAGAAGCGAAGTAAAGAATACCCCCCACAAGGCATCACAGGACGGTCTTTCCATGTGTTGTCTTTATTGAATGCACCTAAACAACGTTTCACGACGGTTGAGGATGTTAAGGGCCCCCAAGAAAGATTGGCAAAGCGTGCACAGCCGTGTGCATTCACCGGGTGGTTTCACCCGAACCCAGAGGGGCGGTCGCTTGCCGCAGCTCGCGCAACGTGCTTAGACAGGTGAGGAGGGTGCTGGCCCCTCAGCCGATGAGCATTAGTCAAACGATGATATCTTGACATGGACCAAGAACTCCAAAAAACATTACTCCGCGATGCACACAGATTCTTGTCCCAGATTCTTGTCCGATGGACACCTCATCGTCGACATTGTCCACAAAGCCGTCCTGCCAAGGCTGTTTCTTCAGTGGGTGAAAAGCAAGTTGGAATGTACATCTGAGTGGAGTGTGGAGACTCACCACAGCAAGGCCGGCAAATCACCACGGCAACAAGGGTCACTTCACTGATGCAATGTCAAAAGAAACAAACAGAACAATGTCGAAAGTACTTGAGATGTACTTGAGGTAGCAAAACTGTCTCACATGTGTCAAAATGGCAAAATCTGATTAGTATGCCAAAGTTGGTTGTAGACCTTGGCAGCTTACCCTCCAGACATGAACAGAATCGTCGAGGCAAGAGGGTGATCACACCGTTTCTGCCGCTTCTGCTGTTGCCGACGTTCACCCCCACATTCGCGCATGGGTGTACCCTGTCGTTCTCTTGAATTCAATCTGAGCCCGTCTTGTTGCGCTCTTGAATTCAATCTGAAAGCAAAAAGTCCAATGACTCAAAACTACGATCTGTTCGCGTGACTCCAAACCTCGCATAAGGCAGGTGTCCTTGATCTTCGAGACATGTACCAAGCCATCGGCCTGCGCCCCGCTGTCCAAGGTCACGGTCACAAAGGCGCCAAAGGGAGCAGTTCGCGCCACCTTGCCGTTATACCTGAGGGGGTGACACACAGTCCGAACAGTGACTCTTTCTGGAGCCCACGCTGCCACTGTGGTACCAACACAGTTCCTTTCTGTGACCCGATGGGCGGCTGGATGGTTTGTGCACATCCCGGCTCCCCACTCTTTCATACACTCACTCACTCACTCACTCCCTCCCTCGCTCCCTCACTCACTCTCTCGCTCCCTCACTCACTCACTCACTCACTCTCTCTCTCTCTCTCTGGCTCTCTGTTGCTCACACTACCTCGAGTTCAGCATATTTCTAACGGCAAGATGAAAAGAGGTAACTAGTAGACTAGAGTTCACCACTTCAACCAGACACCACTCATCTGAAGGTAAATCTGCAAAAGGCGTCAAATCAGCAGGAGCTCCTGAGATCGTGGATCGACTGAAACGAACGAACAAGGAGACCTAGCTATTGGAGCCCAAAGCACCCTTTTAAGAGGGGGCAACGGGTTCATTTAATTTAGTCACTAGCGGTGTGGATGGTGCGCGCGTGAAATGGTGGGGCATTTCGGGCTCCTTGCAAGCAAACGCATACCAAATAACTCAGCCACAAACATCACTGCTGTTTCTGTTGAAGTCACTCTCGCTTAGAAACCCCGGACAGGCCACACCGACCCTTGCACCCTGCACCGTGCGACGAGACGTCGCCAAGGCTCTGGGTGCACTGTCCATCTTGCCCTCCACCATGGTGAGCCCAAACTTCTCCTCGTCCTCCCTTTTGCCAGAGACCCACACCTCCACCTGGCATGCTCGACTCTCTCATACACCACCCCGAACAAACACAGAACAGACAGGAAACTTCAGCCAAACGAAGTTGGGCAAGAGCGGCCAGAGATTGTTGCCTAACATTGCCTAACGGGCCTATTCGGGGTCCCGGTAAACCCCACCCAACAGTCCAACAGCCTTCTGCCCCTCTGACAGCACGTCGTAGATGTTCTCCACGCGCTCCCCCGAGATGCGTGAGATGTGCAACAGCCCCTCGCTCTCCGCGCCGATGTCGACAAAGGCGCCAAAGTCCAAGACGCTCCGCACTGTGCCGTCGTACTTCCTCAGTGTCCGTCGTGGTGGCACCAGGTACTGCTTGGTGCACCAAAAACAGCGCCACAGCTACCCACAGGTACCCACAGGTACCCTGGTGCTGTGTCCGTGGTGCCCTCCCAAAAAAAGAAAAACAACACCAGCGCCAGGTCCCACAAACTGCAAGAGCAATTGGAGGCCAAACTTCGGAGGTGTCGACCCACATTTCATGAAGCTGATGGTGCTTTGTTAGTCTAGACCCTAGACTCTTAGACCTCTAGACCTTCCGGCATTTCAGTGATTGTTTGATGTCTGCATCAAGCATCTTGCCAATCTCAATGTCCCCATAAGGGATTGGCGGATACTTCATCTCCTGAGGAGATAAGATTCATGGCTCCAAATCTCAGACCATTAAGAACTGCAACATCCTGCTCAGAATTCGAGCTGAATCCTATGATCTTGCGATTGAATCCAAGTGCATCAAAAGGTACACTGGAAAATATTTTGGAAGACTACTTTCCTCTAGACACAAAGGGTTTTCCACTTCAACTTCCATGTTAGTGAGTCAGTGTAACCAAGGTGTGTCATCATACTCTCACCCTGTCCTTGGCATCGACTTCTGATTCCTCTGGACCACCATCTGGGTCATCCCACTTCACGGTGAAGCGGCCGTCGCCGACCTTCGTCACTTCCTCACGAAACGGTCGTGACCTTCGTCGCGACGTTCAGGTCTTTGAGTCGAGTCTGTGAGTGATGGGCAAATGAATGCCCCGACACTGCCCGTGCTGCTCAAGAATGAGGTTTCGAAGGGATGGTGCTCTGTTCCTGCTTTCATTGAAAGTGTTCACTGCAAATTCATTGAGGCTGATACTGAACTGCACCCCGCCCCCAATCGGAATTAAAGAACTACCTCCAACCCAATCGCGATGGCCTCCTCCAACCCAATCGCGATGGCCTCCAACCTACCCAATCGCGATGGCCTCCAACCTACCTAATCGCGATGGCCTCCAACCTACCTAAATGCCATGGCCGCCTCCAACCTAAATGCGATGGCCTCCTCCAACCTAAATGCGA